TCAACAAACTCAATCAATATTCGAACTCTTTGAAGTAGCTATCTACATATGAATATGACGTACCGAGTAGCTAAAACTCTACTTGAGTTAGTACGATCTTTTGCGCTGTTAATTAAAATTCAATACATGATTATCTTATTACAATTTAGTCATACTAATTGTGCAGTAGGGGACATCTTATCAAAATCGTATCGAAAGACTCCTTGATTGATCAGTTTCAGGATGTAATGAATTATACCAAATAGATCAAATTTATAAGATGCTCTCAAAATTTGTTATAATTATTGAGGTTCAACAACACGTTAATCGTAAGGTGGTCATTGGGCATTTGTCTATCTCCTAGCTTGCCTAAACACGCTTAGACGTTGTAATAAAAATAGTAATTTTTCATCATGATGAATGAACTAACATTTTTGAAGCACTTTCATACTTCAGTTCAAATGATTTAACAACAAGCAAAATAACTCTCTAGTTTATAATTTTTTTATACCAAATTGTATAATTAATTCAAGAGGAATTTTACAATGCTTTATAGTATTGGTGCTATAGGTTTTTGCTTTTATGGTACAATTTGAAGTTGTACCTTTGATGTTACGGTACAACTTCATATTGTACTTATACTATTTTGTACAAATTCTTTTATGGTACAACTTCAAATTGTACATTTATGTGATTGTACGACTTTAAGTTGTAAAGTTGTACCGTAACATAAATGTACTTATTCTTTTATGGTACAACCTAAACTTATACATTTAAAATTATGGTACAACTTCAAGTTGTACATTAAAGCACCAATACTTTATAGCATAGTAAAAATGCTCTTAATTCAATTATGAGCTGAAATAGCTAATTATAAGCACTTAAATTTTTAAGTGAAAATTCATATGATACTATTGTTTGACAAAATGGTTTTTATCATAGAATGGTTCTATCGAGAGAGGTCTCTAAGAAACATGGCTTACTTTATTATTGCTTAGGTAGATATAATATATATTTTCATCGTTACTTTTACATTGGATTCAATTTAGTATACTTTTTTGTTTAGATAGATTTTTTAATGATTTTTTGGGATATAATATATCATTATTGTATGATGGTGTAGGATATTAGTTCCTCTCATTTTAGGTTCAAACTGATGCATTTCCCCTTTATCGTTCACTTTTATCAGTTAATAATTTTTATGATATTTTTCACTATGAAATATCGTGAGCAGAATCTATACACAACAATTTGTGTTATTTTCGCTTCCTCTTCTCTAGATTAGATATTGTGTCCATATTGATTCTTATATTGGTTATTGAATTACTACTTTTTTGTTCTGAAGTTTATGAAACTAAGATTGATTTTTTTTTTTTTGAGAAACATGAAACTAAGATGCATATTGATAAAGAATGTAAGGTGTCATCTTCCCTCTTAAGGTTTAAGCACTACATATCATTGTTTACCTACTGTTAAATCGAAGTCTTTCTAACTTGAGTACGAGCTACAATGACTTTTATTGTTGTCGATTTTTCCCAAAATATTAGGTATGTTGCTTTTAGTTTTCGCATTTTCTTTTCTATTTGATTTAGCTTTTTATGTGTTGCTCTATTAGTTGAACTTGCCAGTTGGAGATCTGCATGCTTCGACTACATTAACGTTACAGTGACTTCTATATGAAATGCCACTCGAAACATGAGTGTGTGATTTAGTTTGTTTCTTATTAAGGACACTCTAAACATATACTTTGTTCCATTATATCATTGAATACACTAAAGTCAATGGAAAAGTCGAAACATTTTATCGTATACTGAAGATTGATTATGCATGTATGATGTAAAACAACTCTTACCATTGTTCTTCTTAGACGTTTTTATATCAATACGAATTCGTTTGAAAATATGTATTTATGTTAGTGTAGTTTGACATTGTTCGTCATTTTCAAAACTTTGTTAGTCAAATACATCAAATACTTTCCTATATTATTAATGGAGAACTTACCAAACTAAATAATTACTTCAAACTTCAACAACATGAACCATAACAAAAATATATACCTACACTTATACATGACAACATAAGAATCAAACTCTCCCGGCCAAGAGGCGGGCCATAATCTAGTTTCACTAAATATGTTTGCAAGATTGTGATCAGTAATACATACCTTTCAATACAACACTGTTTCGACTTAAATCAACCTCCTCTAATGTGATAAGAGAACCCAAGTCTATACCAATACATGAATATGCAAAAGGAAAACACCCAACAAATTATATATTAGATTAACGAACACACACACACATATATATATAAATCAATCGGTAATTCAGTATACATGTGTTTTTACTGTACATTGAGCAAATCTAGAGGCTCATCATACCCTTAATTAGTAAGATATTAATCGCTATCTATACTTTAAATTTTTCACAATTTTGGACATTGTATTGTATTATAGCCTTTAATGAGTGAACCCTAGATCTTAAGTCTCAAAATCCAAGCCATGAACCATAAGATGATGTATCGAGTACGTTGGATGTATTTCACGATGAGTCGGAACCCTCAATTATTCTGTCTAATTAAATTAGTTTTAGAACATAAGTTTTAGACGATTATCAATTATGACATGTTTACTCGTTAGGGCGCATGGTAGGATATACCATACTCCAAACTCTGATTACTTCAAGCTGTAAATTTTTTTCTTATGTACTAAGAGTATGCGGTATTCTCAAATTTACGTACATCGGACACCATAAAACTCTCCCGTATGGAATATCATATGAACTCATTTATTAATAGGCAATGAGATAACTAATTAAGAGTTTGAGAGTGGGAGATAAAATTGTGGAATTAGGAGAGAAAAGTTGTTGCTTACCATGAATATCAATTGTTCCTTTCAGCCCAGTATCGGATAGCATCAAAAATTTCAAAGAAGTGAGGTCACTTAGATAAGGGACAATTTTATTTCCCAACCTAGGGTTACCCTCTAAAGCCAAGAAGTCCAAATTTACGAGTCTGGCTGGCTTTCCAAGACCTGCATGTATACCCCAAACAACAAAAGATGCAAATGATTAACTAATATATACACAGTGAGCCCTTCTAGTGTGCTCTATAGTACCCATGCTATAAAAAACAAAAAAAAAAGGTGACCTGTTGAGGAGGTAAACCCACTAAATGACTGGTCCCACATCATTAATGGCAATCTTGTAAATAATGAATCAATGTATACAAGTGTAGGTACAAATTAGAGTTGTACCATATAGTATAGGTACAAGTTTCAGCTGTACCATTGAAGAATTTGTTTCACAAAGTGTAGGTACAACTTAAAGTTGTACCATTAGTCTAGGTATAATTTTTAGTTGTACCATAAAGGGATTTGTTAGAAAGTGTAGGTACAACTTAAAGTTGTACCATGGTATAGGTACAAGTTTGGGTTGTACCATAAAAGAATTTTGAGAAAGTGTAGGTACAACTTAAGGTTGTACCATTAGTATAGGTACAATTTTTAGTTGTACCATAAAGGGATTTGTTAGAAAGTGTAGGTACAACTTAAAGTTGTACCATAGTATAGGTACAAGTTTAGGTTGTACCATAAAAGAATTTTGAGAAAGTGTAGGTACAATTTAAGGTTGTACCATTAGTATAGGTACAATTTTTAGTTGTACCATAAAGGGATTTGTTAGAAAGTGTAGGTACAACTTAAAGTTGTACCATAGTATAGGTACAAGTTTGGGTTGTACCATAAAAGAATTTTGAGAAAATGTAGGTACAACATAAGGTTGTACCATTAGTATAGGTACAATTTTTAGTTGTACCATAAAGGGATTTGTTAGAAAGTGTAGGTACAACTTAAAGTTGTACCATGGTATAGGTACAAGTTTGGGTTGTACCATAAAAGAATTTTGAGAAAGTGTAGGTACAACATAAGGTTGTACCATTAGTATAGGTACAATTTTTAGTTGTACCATAAAGGGATTTGTTAGAAAGTGTAGGTACAACTTAAAGTTGTACAATGGTATAGGTACAAGTTTGGGTTGTACCATAGAAGGATTTTTAGAAAGTGTAGGTACAACTTAAAGTTGTACCATGGTATAGGTACAAGTTTGGGTTGTACCATAGAAGGATTTTGAGAAAGTGTAGGTACAACTTAAGGTTGTACCATTAGTATAGGTACAATTTTGAGTTGTACCATAAAGAGATTTATTAGAAAGTGTAGGTACAACTTAAGGTTGTACCATTAGTATAGGTACAATTTTGAGTTGTACCATAAAAGGATTTGTTAGAAAGTGTAGGTACAACTTTAAGTTGTACCATGGTATAGGTACAAATTTTAGTTGTACCATAAAGGGATTTGTTAGAAAGTGTAGGTACAACTTTAAGTTGTACCATGGTATAGGTACAAGTTTGGGTTGTACCATAAAAGTTGTACCATTAGTATAGGTACAATTTTGGGTTGTACCATAAAGGGATTTATTAAATTTCCTGGGATAGTGAGAACTGCTCTTTGCATCTCACGGGACATCTCACGGCCGTGATATTTGCCCGAGGAATGAAGCACTGCTTTTTACATCTCACTTGAGTATTTTACGGTCGTGAGATTACCAGTATAAGGTGTCAGATTTCCAGTAGGAGACTTTCACCTGTTGAACTATCCCGTGTACTTATTATAATGGTGTTTCAAACAGAATGGACTTTTTTCCAGAACTTCAAACTTATGAAAAAGATGATTCATAATGTTCTCTAAACCTTGACACGAGCATTACATAGATCCATTCACAATGTTCTCTAGTAACTGTACATCATATCAGATGAGATACCCTGTTAACAAAAAGTAAAACGCAGTCAAAGCATTACATTTGTCTAATAAAACAAGCATCCATAACACGATTAAATCTGTCTAATTAATGCTTAAGTTTAGCTGCATGTAGCCCACACTAGTGCATCATCATATTCTAATTGGAAAACATACAAGCACAAACGCAAACACACATAGCTAAGTACTAAGGACTTTTGTTGGGTCATCTTCACTGCCCATCTTCCTCATCAGTGCTCTCGTCCTCGTCTTCGTTTTGCTGGATTTGCTCATCTTCATTGTCCTCGCTAGAGTCACTGCCCTCTTCCTCAATGGTCCCTTTGTCCTCTTGATTTCTTTCCTTGTTTTGTTCATTGCCATTGTCCTCGTCGTCCTCTTCACTGCCCTCTTCCTCATTGGTCTCTTTGTCCTCTTGATTTCTTTCCTTGTTTTGTTCATTGCCATTGCCCTCGTCGTCCTCCTCTTCACTGCCATTTTCCTCATTGGTCCCTTTGTCCTCTTGATTTCTTTCCTTGTTTTGATCATCGCCATTGCCCTCGTCTTCCTCTTCACTGCCCTCTTCCTCATTGGTCCCTTTGTCCTCTTGATTTGTTTCCTTATTTTGTTCATCGTTGTTGCCCTCGTCGTCCTCCTCTTCACTTCCCTTTTCCTCATTGGTCCCTTTTTCCTCTTGATTTATTGCCTTGTTTTGTTCATCGCCGTTGCCCTCGTCATCCTCTTCACTGCCCTCTTCCTCATCGGTCCCTTTGTCCTCTTGATTTATTTCCTTGTTTTGTTCATCGTCGTTGCCCTCGTCGTCCTCTTCACTTCCCTCTTCATTGCTTTCCTCGGTTGGCCTAGGAGATAGTTCCCAAGGTGTTGAGAATTTTTTGTAGTCAATCCTCAAGGACCTCATGATGTGATGGTTGCATTTGATGATGTAGCGTCGAGCTTCCTTTTCTCGATCGAGGTGGGAGAGAATGAGTGCATTTTGCTCGAGAATTTGGGCATTCTGCCGACCCAATGCCTCAAAATGGGAAATGTATCTGTCGGTGGATGGTCCGGCTTGAGTCGTAGTTTGGTGATGTTGTGCAGGTTGTTGCGGAGACTCCTCGACCATTTGCTGAACAACATGCTCCGATGCGTTTGCCTCATCTGTTGCAAGAGGTGGAGCAGGATGAGGGAGGCGCTCTAGGAGATCCCAATCAATGCATCTTTGCTGCCCAAATGGGAGGGGAAGGAAGCGCTCTAAAGCCCTCCTATGTTTGTCGGGTAATTGGAGGAAGCCGTGAAGTCCCCCTCCTCCAAGTTGAGCCTCCGTTTGTGGTGGTGGAGATGGTTGACGTGCTCGTCCTTGGTTGTTTTTGCGTTGTCGTTTGGGGGGAGTGTCTCGTTCTTGGGTTTGGCGGCGACGACGATAAGTAGCCTTCACTTTAGCAGGTGAGGCTGATGGTTGCGTGGTTTTTTGTTTAGCTTTCCCCATTCCTACAAAAACCAACTAAGCACATTAAGTCTTTAGTGAATGAGAGGGAAAAGAATTATGCATAAGCATATGCAATTCACAAAGAGACGTCTACACCCTAAAAAAATGCAACAAACCAGGAGCATTCTAATCCCAGGAGCATTCTAATCACAATTAGGAATTCAAAACCCTAATTCAGACCAACCAGGAGCATTCTAATCCCAGGAGCATTCTAATCACAATTAGGAATTCAAAACCCTAATTCAAACCAACCAGGAGCATTCTAATCACAATTAGGAATTCAAAACCCTAATTCAGACCAACCAGGAGCATTCTAATCACAATTAGGAATTCAAAACCCTAATTCAGACCAACCTTGGGCAACTAAACCCTAAAAAATGCAAGAAACCAGAGAAGATTGCCGCTGTGGTTAAGAAGAACTCACGAAGTGGAACAGAGGGCAGAGACTCGTGGGGAAATGGTCGCCGTCGCCGCTGAACCTTGGAGCAGTTACCAGAGGAGTCGTGGGGAAGTGGTCGGCGGCGGAAGAATCTTCGAGGGCGAGCGAGCGAGTGCGACCGATCGAGGGCGATGGCGAGCGAGTGAGGGCGAGGCTTGGGGGGTCGAAGTGCGATGGCGAGCGAGTGAGAACAGAGGGAGTACAGGGTTGGGGGTCGGGGGAGAAGAGGCTTGGGGAGAAGAGGGTTCGGGTTCGAAGTAGAACAGAGGGTTGGGGGTCGGGTTCAAGTAGAAAAGAGGAATTTAAAACAGGGTGTTTCCAATTTGCTGCATTCCATCTCACGGTTTTTCTCCCGGGCGGGATATAAACCGTGAAACCCCCTGTCCGTTACAATTTTTTTAAAAACATTCTAACGGTATATCTACCCGCCGTGAGGTTCCAGTTATGAGGCGTGGTTTTGGGTTTCAACTGTGACCATCTCACGGGTTAATCTCACGCCCGTGAGATTAACAGATGAGCCGTGAGAAGTTCAGCATTTCAATTGCACAATCACGGCTCATCTCACGGCCGTGATACTGGCGAGACCAACCCGTGAAACCCCCTGGAACTCCCCCTTTTTCAAAAAAATCTAACGGTCCATCTCCCGGCCGTGAGATTTTCAGATGTGAGGCGTGTTTTTGAGTTTCAGCTGTGACCATAACACGGGTTAATCTCACGCCCGTGATATTTAAAGATGAGCCAATTTGAGGGTTCAAGTAGAATAGAGGAAGGTTTAAATAGGGTGTTACCAATTTTAGGGTGCAATCTCACGGCTTTTTGTCCCGGGCGGGATATAACCCGTGAAACCCCCTGGAAGTTACAAATTTTAAAAAGAATTCTAACGGCATATCTCCCGGCCGTGAGGTTTCAGTTATGAGGCGTGTTTTTGGGTTTCAGCTGTCATCATCTCACGGCCTCTCTCACGTTTACTCTCACGGCCGTGATATTTTCAGAATTTCAAATCCAAAAACCACGCATGCTTTCACGGCCGTGAGATTTCCGGAATTGGCCTGCACAGACATTCACATGTAGAACTAACCCCTGTACTTATTATAAGAGTGTAAGAAACATAATATACTGTTTTTGAAAACTACAAGCTTATGAAAAGATGAGTCATAATGTTCTTTGAAGCTAGACACAAGCATTACATAGATCCATTCAATGTCACTAGATACTAACTTGCACAAAACAAACATGACAAGATGAAACATAATGTTGTTTGAAGCCGAACACCAGCATTACAGGTTGTGCTTGGATCGTTTGGGAAGTAGAACAGATTCTTGAGTCTCCACATGAAAGCTGCTTTCACCTGCTCCTATGGACTCGAAGTTGTATTCTTGTTGCGTGAAATGACTATCACCTGCACCTGCTTCAGCCATTCTTTTCAGCGGACAATTTCTGATTGTATGTTTAGGACGCCTACAATACTTGCACAACCGTGTTTTCACTTGAGGTTGCTTCACATTCCCTTTACTTCGAACTGGATGGGGGTCCTTAATAAACTGAGAGGAGTTCACTCCAGCATCCGTAGTATCATTATTTGTTTTGTTGGTTGTTTCTTCACTTATTGTCTTCACTCGCAAGGTCAAGTCTTCAATCAACCCTTTGGCAGTATGAAATGCTTCATCCGAACTCACAGCATAATGGCACATTCTACTACATTGACCAACCAAGAATCCAAACCTGTCCAAATAAACAAGCAATTTTGTAGTTGGTTCCTAGCACAATAGAAGTAAACAAAGAACTAAATCAACAGCTTAAATTTATAATACCTGCTAATATTTTGCTGGGTAGGACAGCTTCCCATACTCGAGGGATCGAACTCTTTTGCATCTTTAGTCCAACGCTTCAAAATGAGTGACTTTGGAATTTGTATTTGATTTTCTGCTTTCAATATACAGAATATATGCCGACATGGAATTCCGCAGAACTCAAAAATGCCACAAGAACAATGCACATCATGTCCACTCGTGTAAAAGACCACAGTGCACTTTGAGTCAGGGTATTTGAATCGTGACAATGTGTAAATTGTTTTATTGGTCAACACACACTTGTCTGTAATATAGTAATGAACTTCTCTCGCTATTTCTGCTCGAACGCTCCTGAACACATTTCTTGTATATACTATAGAGGCATGTCTTTCAATTTCATGTAAATGTGTCATCAAAACAACATCAGTATGTATTGTCTTAAACTGGTCATGTAACTCAGTTTGTCTCCTATACAAAAGTGCCATGTCAAACTGCTTGACAAACTCAAACAACTTCATCTTACTTTGCAAGAATTTGTCTAGATAAGAGTTCATGCTCTCACAACGTTGTGACGTAGTCATCCCAGCAAAGAAAATACCTTTCAAGTAAGTTGTGGCCCATAGAGCTCGTCGCCTATACATCTTCTTCATCCACGCATTGTGCTCCAGGTCATACTTGGACAAAATTTCCTTCCACGTAGCTTCAAATTGTGGAATAGAACTGCAGTTTAGCATGCATCGTTTGAAATCCTCCCGGAAGCCTTCCGCATGGCCACGCGCTTCTGCGTTATTGCCCAAGTGCCAAGAACATAACCGATGTCGGGATCCAGGGAGAACCGACTTGATAGCTTTCCTCATTGAAGAACAACCATCTGTTATAACTGCGGTTGGCTTCTTACCACCCATGCAATGTAAAAAAGCATTTAGAATCCATACGTAGTTCTCCGCCGTTTCATCCGCAAGTAAAGCACATGCAAAAACAGTGCTTGCATTGTGATTATTCACACCAATGAATAGAAGAAATGGAAGATTATATGCATTAGTTTTGTACGTCGAGTCAAAAACAAGAACATCTCCAAAGAGACTATAATCCAATTGTGAAGAAGAGTCAGCCCATAACATATTGCCTAGTTCACCACCATCACTTACTGTATATCTACAATAAAAACGAGGATCGGTAGTTGCCCGTGCTTGTAAGTAGGCAAGTGCAGCTTCACTATCACTATCCAAGATCTCCGACCTCCGATCCGCACTAACAAAATTGTAGACATCGGTCTTAGTGAAACCCAAGTTCTGAAAGCTTCTCGCACAATTCACTAGATAATCCATTATTTGATTGGTGCGAATACCAGCAGCCCTAAGTGATCGAATATGAGCCTTACTTGCGTCATCTACCTTGCGATGAGAACTCAAAAACTGCACTTCATGTGCTCCAGCTAAGTGATGAAAATGTGTTGGTATAAACTGTTTCACCTTGAATCGGTTAGTTGCCTCAACAAAACTGACTTTGAAAGCTGCCGGACAATGGAGCCTTGTTACAGGCCTAGGTTCACGCTTTCTGTTCTCCTTGTCATTGTGCACTGGTTGACGCTCCCCCTCGCATGAGCAAACCCATCGCTGCATATTTTTAACTCCATATTTTGAAAATGTGTGAGTGTTCTTCCGTACGCTGAATCCCATGGCACAACCATAAGTTGAATAGAACTTGGCAGCCTCCACAAGGGTTTCAAACTCATAACCCACAACATCATCCGACTCCCATTTAGAATATGGCTTACCATTCCCGACTTTATCAAGCAAGGTCCAGTCATACATACTCGAGTACGGTGGAGCCATGGCTGGATTTGCAGCATCTTTGTGTAGAGGTGCATCTGAGCTGTGTGGCTGTGTTTCGAAGCTGTGCAAATGCTCATCTGAGATGTTCTCTTTATCATCATCACCAAAGTTAGTGTTATTATCATCCTCAGAATCACTATCGGTGGTGTCGACATTGTCCTCCATATCGTCACTATCTCTAACACCACCGGTATCATCTCCATAATCCATTCCCCAATCTAAACCAACATTCAAGTCAATTCCCGTGTCCTTGCCTGTGCTCATATCATCCATCAACCCTTCCATAGTTGATCAACTGAAAACAAGCAACAAAATGAAGTTTAGAGACAATTGAAATCCACATATTCACCACCCACAACCGACCGAATGAATTGAAACAAACACGAGGCAAGACCGAGTTAAGCAACCATAGTTTCCCCTTCACTTCTGCGACAAACCAACCATTCACAAATGAAAGAAACCATAGCCTAAACCGTACTCCATACCAAGAAGAACCCATAAGTCCCTGATTTCTCAAAAGAACCCAAAGTCCGGCGAAACCCATAAGTTTCCCAAGAGAACCCGTGAGTGCAAATAGAAATCGAAAATGAAGCAACTAGAACCGCACAAATCTGGACGAAAACCAACAATTTCCCAAAAAACCCCGTGGAACCCTAAATTCGCAAGACTCAAACTCGAAATCTGAGGCTACTAGAAGCGCAAAACACACAGGTAAAGCAGGAGAAGAGGTTATCGTACTTCACGGAGAGTGATGGAGAGCGGTCTGCGGGTCTTCGGCGGCTGACAAAGGATGGGCGAATAAAGGAGAATGGAAAATCGATGGTTGCGTAGAGAAGGGAAGACGAAGGAAGGGAGATAGGAAGCAGGAAGGAAGAAATCGACAGGGAGGGACGCAGGAAGGAAGAAATCGATGGTTTCGTAATATTGGTGGATAAG